TCTCCCTCTGACCTTCCTCCTTCTCATGCTCTCTGTCTCTCATTCTCTCTCTCTCAAATAAATAAATAAAATCTTAAAAAAAAAAAAAAAAGAATAAAGGAGAGAATTTCAACAGAACATAGTTGTAACTAATGTTGCAAAGAAGTTACTTTTTGAATGGAATAGAAGGATTGAAAAGTAACCCTTCAATTTTGCCTTTTGCCATCGTTAAGCCTAACAAATGGAATATTTTAGAAGCATACATTCAGAGAAATAGAAATATCTAGGCTTTAAAATCTGTATCTTTGCTGCAAGTTATCATTTATCTACCATTTCAACATTATCATGAATAGGTTTAAAATATATCTATCAACCCAAGAAATCTTTAGCAGTTTGTTATTTTTCTGTTTCTTGTTTTTTTTTGGAAGTGTGAGGGTCCTATGTATTACATAAGGTAGAAGATGTGAGCTTCTTCAGGGCTGGGAAAGGTTCTTATTTATTTACATATTCCTAATGTATAGAATGATAAGTAGGAACCCAATAAATACTCATTTAAATCATTAAATAATCATTTAATGTGATTTAAGAATGATAAGCATACATTCATTCATCAAAATTTCTTAAATGCCTACTTATGGCCAAGCACTATTCTAGGTGTTGGATACAGGAGAGTACTAAGCAAACATATCCCTCTTGGAGCTGATAGTCAAGTGGGGAGAGATTAATAATAAGCAACACTTTTGATCTCATGCTCAGAGAATGGAACTTGCAAAACCCATGCTAATTTTGATAATGGTTGCTATGTACCCAATTTCTTGTACACTACTTAGGAATTGTACCCCAAGGACTCATTTTGACTAAAATATGAATGAGGCAGATGCCCTGGGAGATTCTGATTCCAAACCATGTGTAACTAAACTTCTCATTTAGTTAAGTGAGACATATGGCATGTCAAAGTATAACAAAGTTTCCTATTGTAGAATTTTATATACGGTACGGTAATAAATCTGTTGCTTTAGCTAATAAGATTCTGATTTAATACTCTTTCACTGAATAGCAAGTTTGCCTAACCTGAACTTGACATACATGGGTACTTTTAATATATTAGTTTCTAGTGATTTTCAAGATTTTTTAAAAAGTTAACAAATATACTTTATAACATATCCTGATATTTGGAAATAATGTAACATTAAATGTCATTTTAGATGTTCCTCTTACTTATCAAGCGGAGGGGAGCCGGCAGGCTCTGAAAGTTTACTTCTACGTTGATAGTTATCATTTTGAACAACTGCCTCAACGTTTGAAAAATGGAGGAGGGTTTAAAATTCACCCCGTACTTTTTGTGCAAGGTAAACTGCTTTCCTTTTTATACGTGTACTTAAATTATTTTATCTCTATTGATTTTTTTTTTTAAAGATTTTATTTATTTATTTGACAGAGAGAGACACAGCAAGAGAGGGAACACAAGCAGGGGGAGTGGGAGAGGGAGAA